TGCTTCTCGAGTTTTTCTTTATCTTCCTACATGAAAACCATCAAACCTAAAACTAAGGGATTCCATAAAACGTGAACGCTGATATGCTTGCAAGTGGCAAAATGGGTTATAACATTTTCTTACCACTGACAATGCCTTTTGACCAGACTCTGATACTTCTGCATAATAAATACCACCGAAAAAGTCATTGATATGTATCCAACAATGCACAAGTCGGTAAAAAAATATCTGAATGACTCAAAAGCATTTAGACGTCAGCTAGTGCTTTCAAACACCTGCTGATTGTAACACCTGCAACTACAAACTTGCTTCCGAAAAAAAAAGAATTCTGTGTCATTGCATGTTACCTGAGGCCCTGCTAGATAAAACTGAAATCTTCTGTTCCAGTTCCTGCTTTTCAGACATTAAAGAAGCTACTCGAGTTTGTTCTTCAGCTAAACGCTGTTGTTCTTGCTGCCTTAACACTGATTCTTTCTGTGTACGTTAAGAACATTATTATCTTAGATAAATAGACTCTCACGGGGAACCTATTATCTGTTTCAAAATAATTTAAACCTGTAATTCTAGTTTTAGGTTAGCCATCTCCTTTTCTAATATTGGTAGTTGGTCTGAGGAAACTCCCATTGGCGACAGGCCAGTAAACGAAGTACCCATTGCTTGCTGTTGTATCGAGTTAAGCTCTGCTCTCAGAGATGCCGCATCTTCCTCAGCCTATCAACAATGGGTTATGGTATCTCTAAATAAAGAAGAAAGGGAAATTTAAATTTGGAAGGCAAAAAATTGTTCCATACTCGATATTGTTCCTCCTCTGCCTCTTTAACACGTCTCTTAAGAGTCCTAACTTGAGCTGAGAGATCCTCCTATAAACAATAGCTACGCCAATCAAACATGCAATCAAGGAGGAGATAATTTTTGCACCAAAAGAACTAAAACAAGTGTACTCCCTACTCGTAAAACAACAGCAGCATCTTTCTCCATTGCAATTTCCTTAAGGGCTTTTCTCAGAGATGGCACTGTGTTTTGTTCCTGTTATTCATCCACAAGGGCATATGTCAAGACATCTTGAATCATTTTTCATATTCCATGTCAAGCCTCACAAACCAGGAATGGATAACATCACAAATAGAAGTTTACTTGTTACATACCAGCACATTCAACCGAGTCTCAAGTGATTCATTCTCAACTTCCTTTGTTTGAAGCTGAATCCCACAGACAAAAAAAAACACATCATGAATACAGTTTAATCAAAATAAAAACATAGGATCTGATAACTAGCAAGGCAAAGAGGTAACTAATACCTTTGAGGACAATATCTTGTTGCGCTCCTCCATATCTGCATTCTTCTTCTGCAGTTCTTTAAGCTGGGAATATAAAGCACCAACATCTGTCTGTGGATGTAATTCAAAACAAACCATGACCAGCAAGATCATAATATCAGTAAAACCCAATACAAAACTCAATTCAAGCATTCTCATTATCACGATCGTCGCAGTTCTCAAGGATCCCAATTAGATCACACAATATCAGAGAAATGTTACCTCAGAAAGCCGATTTCCACTCTCAGATTTTCTGATCACTGGGAAATCTGCAAGACATTGAAACAATCAAAATTGCAAAGCTAGGGGAAAATAGAGAGATCAAAAACAATGAAATTACCGGCAGGATTTGGAATTTCGCTAAGATCTGGGCCTGATGAAGTTTTGCTTAGCCTTTGAGCAGCTCTCTTTTGACGAATCTCTTCCAACTACAAGATCACAGAAACCAACGAAAACACCGATGTAAGAAACCGTCGTCAGACGAAGATGAAGACGGCGACAACGGATATATGCTTACAGTCCGGCGACCTAGAGACGCGTGGTGCGAGTCCATGGTATGATTCCTTCTGCACTAGATGATTCCTCGGCAAATTCGAATGTCGGAGAGGGTAATCGCCGGCGACAAACCGTAACGTCTGGGTTGGGCTTATTGGAGAGTCAATTTGGGCTTATTAGCGAGGACGTTGTTCACTTTTCCATGTTTTCTCTTTATATTGGTGATGTTATTATGAGAATAAACGCTATAAAAAATCAGTTATATTTTGGTGATTTGGTCTATCACCCTTTAATTTGTTGGTCCCGAAGGACGGAGGAAGGTCTTATATGTAGTCGGAGACTACCAAATTCTAACTTTGATTGATAATATAGGATGATTATCTTGGAAACTCGTCCACTATAAGCATCTTTATGCTCATGCATGCCACTAACGAGATTCACTTAGGTGGTAATATACACTATGGAGCATATCTCAAAAGCTTTGAACGAATGTACATCATCATGAGATTCGATATGCAATTTGTTTTCAGTTTTTTGACCCAAAGAAGTTCTTTCTATTTCAAGAACTTAACTATTTTTATAACTTTGCACTATGCTTTGATGCGTCATAGGTCAAAGGTTGGAAACTTAAGGAATGTGGTTTAGCTTTGAATATGATTGATATGTTATGAATGTGGAATGTTTTTTTTTCAACCACTCAAAGTTTACATAAGTAACATCAACAAATCTAATCCTAGAAGAGCATGCTATACAATTTAATGATTTATCTTGAGATTTAAATTACTACAATAAACTACCAAAAGCAAAAATTACGAAATATATCTTGGAGACAACACCTTATCGCTTGGAAAAGAGTGTGTCTACCAAAGAGTGAGGGAGGAGCTGGTATTAAGCAGGCAGCATAGATGAATAAGGCCTTGCTAACAAAGGTGGGTTGGAGAGTGTTACAGGATCGCACAAGTCTCTGGGCCAAGGTGTTAAGATGCAAATATAAGATTGGGGATATGCATAACACGGCATGGACTAAGCCATCTAGTAACTGGTCATCGACCTGGAGAAGCGTGGCCTTGGGAATTCGAGAAGTAGTTTTCCCGGGTCAGAGCTGGGTGTTAGGTGATGGTAAAGAAATTAAATTCTGGAAGGATAGATGGTTAATGCATAAACCTCTAATTGAGCTTGTGGAGGGTGAGTTACCAGCGGAGCGGGAGAACGAATTGGTAAAGAGTTTATGGCAGGACGGAGTGGGTTGGAAACTGGATCGTATTACTCCGTTTACTTCCAATGATACACGCCTCCGGTTAGGGGCTTTGGTAGTGGATAGCGTCACAGGTGCGAAGGACAGAGTTAGCTGGGGTGAGAACTCGGAGGGGAAATTTACGGTCAGGTCTGCTTACCAACTGGTTTCTAGAGATGAAAACCTGCGACCTGACATGGAAAAATTCTGGGCACAAGTATGGCGAGTTGTAGTTCCAGAGAGAGTTAGAGTTTTCTTGTGGTTAGTCGGGAATCATGCCGTTATGTCTAATGCGGAAAGATTCAGGAGACATCTTTGTGATTCATCAATCTGTCAAGTTTGTAAAAGTGGGGAGGAGGATACCCTTCACATTTTGCGGGATTGCCCAGCCATGCAGGGAATCTGGACTCGCATCATCCCAGCGAGGTTAAGGCATACTTTCTTCTCTATGACTCTTCTTGAATGGTTGTGGGGGAACTTAAGTGGAGGAATAACAGTGGACAGTGGAGACTGGTCAACACTATTTAGTATGGCCTTATGGTGGGGTTGGAAGTGGAGGTGCGGGAACGTATTTGGTGGGAATGGTAAATGTCGGGATAGAGTTCGGTTTGTCAAGGATCTCGCTAAGGAGGTGACGGAGGCTCACCAATCCCAACGACAGTCGCGAGAGAAGCCAAGTCATGTGGAGAGGCAGATCTCGTGGACTGGGTAAAAGTTAACACTGATGGCGCGTCACACGGGAACCCGGGTAAAGCAACTGCTGGAGGTGTGCTGCGGGACATGACTGGAAGCTGGATGGTGGGATTTGCGTTGCATATAGGAGTTTGTTCGGCTCCGATGGCGGAACTTTGGGGAGTTTACTACGCTCTATACTTTGCCTGGGAGCGACGGGCAACACGTGTAGAAGTGGATGTAGACTCGGAGATGGTAGTGGGTTTTCTAACGACAGGGATAAGCGATGCTCATCGCTTGTCTTTCCTGGTACGTTTGTGCCACGGCTTTATCGCAAGGGACTGGATTGTCCGTATTTCACATGTGTATAGGGAAGCTAATCGTCTCGCCGACGGGTTGGCAAACTATGCGTTCTCTCTTCGGTTAGGTTTTCATTTACTTGAATCTATTCCTAGTTGTGTTGCTTCTATTGCTTTAGACGATATTCGTGGTACTGCCATTTCACGGCAAGTTTGTATTTGACTTTGATTTTTTATAATAAATAATGAGAGATTTCTCCCTCTTTCACACCAAAAAAAAAAACTCATCCAAAATATTGGAGAAAGCATATCACTCATCAAATAAATGCAATTAATTCATCTGTTTTTGTAGTGTTTGTCTCGAAATCAACTCCTTTTATTTTTCTTCCAATCGCCTTCTTCAATTTTCTTCTCCAACTGATTCGTCTAACCATTTCTTTTGACTATTGACTTCCAAAACAGTTTACTTCCAACTGCGGCGGTTGGAAATTATCACACCTTTGTGTGTCAAAAGAAAAACTCAAATTTCAGTCTTAATGATCGGAATATTTTGTATGTCACATGAGAGTGTGTGAACCACACCCGCTTCTATCCTTGTCTTGGCGTGATTCTTGATCACATTTCATGAACAATTATATAAAAATGTTGTATAGATTATGTTGGCAAAAAATAAATCTTTATACATAATAAGAAAAGGAATGTTATTAAGTTTTAATCCTTCCAACTAGCTTTTGAAGTATTCTATTCCAATTGTTTGCCTTGTTATGTACAATCAACTTGAATTTTTTTTTTTTTCTATTCTTCAAAATATCAGTCTTGACATTTCGAAGATTCCTATAAAACTTCCTATATATAGCTATAATTAAACTTAAAAAATAGATTTGTTCTGATCAACTGATTGAACATCACATTTTTGTTTCTATTTTTCATATAATTCTAATATGATCGGATTTACCATCTAAATTACTAAGGAGACTAGTAGGGTTAAGGAAACTCAGAAACTAACCAAACTCAGTCTTTCACATGTGCAGTTACAAAAGTTCACTGCTTTTACCATTTTCACTACCGGTGAAAATCTTTGTAGATCTAAACCGCGATTCACTACAGTGACATAGCCCAAAATCAAGCTAAATTAAAAACCCTTCGATGTCTTACACCGAAGAGCAAAAAAGGTTAAAAGAGAAAGCCCAAAAGTCGATGACTCAGGACAAAAAAACAACCATTACGAGAGAGAGAGAGAAGAAACAACTACGTGTCTCGTCTTAGATCAACCACCACAACACTTACGTTGTCCGAACTTTGTCTAGCCAATGCAAGCCTCGTCAGCAACAGCGAAGCCTCCTCACACGCTTTATCCGGCAAATCTCCTCCTCCGACCATCACATTCCCGGCGCCGACACCTGTCATTTCCCTTTCCGGTGAGGTTGATAGTTGACCATTGGCTTTTCCACTCAAACACATTCGAACGACGCTACATGCAGTTTCGTTTGAAACAACGTCCCAAAGACCGTCACTTGCTAGAATAAGGAAATCGTCTCCGTTGACCCGGTCTGTCACGGTTACCTCCGGTTTGCTGATTACATACGGTTTCAAGTAATTATCTCCTGAAAAGAAAAAAAAAACGCGGCGAAACGAGATTTAATTATCATCATTATTGAACGTATGGAAAAACTTTGTGCAAACATTAGTTTCGTCAAGTGTAATCAATTAACTGACCAATGGCTCGTGACATTGCAAGTACTCCAAGGACACGTGGGCCATCCCAGTAGATAACCCGACCACCCGCTGCTTGAATCCGGTCTAGCTCGTCCGGACGGTCGGGCTGGTTGATTTAAAAGAAGAGGAAAGAAATAGAGTCATATTGATAACAGTGACACGGCGGATTAAAGAATCTACAACTCAGAAACTTTATCAGATCCTCTAATCTATAAAGTCATTAACATTCTTAATCGCCGTCCAGGTGTTGCATGCCCATTAAACAAAATTCGAATTTCAAAAAATTAAATAATAATTAAAAACTCATTAAATATTAAGAAAAAAATGCATTAAACAATATCGATAGGTAAGTTTCGAACGCGACACGTAACGAAATTCTCGTTTCCATTACAGTGAGTAAACCATAACCGTAGAAATAACGGATAAAAATTTAACGATGAATAAACAAAAGAAGAGAGATTATCAGAAAACGAACAAAACCTTATGATCGGAGGATAAAGCAATGGCCTTCCCGTTACGGCACAGAACGGCACGTGAGTCACCGCAATTTGCCACGATGATTTTCTCCGGCGTGAGAACAGACACAACCGCGGTGGATCCCACCGCGTCACAGTCCGGCCGCTGAAGCTCGCAACGGCATTTCGCCGCACCATCGGCGTTCAACGCAACAACCTCCATGTCCATGCGCGTGAAGCTACGCGCCATTGACTTTTCCCAGTCAGCATCAGCTTCAAACTCTTCACGGACTAGCTCGTGTAGTCTTTCTCTGCATCTCATCGCTACCTAAACATATTATTAAACAATAAAAACGACGTCGTAACAGTCAATTAAGGCTAATTTTTTAATTAAACGGCGTCGTACATGGGAACAGCCATGGCCATCGTAAACGCCGCAGTAGTGAAATCCGGAGGAGGAATATTCCGTCTGTTGACGGGAAAAAAACGGATGTACAGCGACGGCGTCTTCCATTTCTCGTCTTCTTCCACAGACGGAAGCGACGCCGTATTTAGGATAAGCTTCAGGATCAGGCAATGCCACAACCGTAGAACTCAGAGACTCGCATAAAACGACAACTTCCTTCGCCGTTTCGTAAAACACGGCGGAGGCAGAGGCTGCGACGGTGGATTCCCGTCTCCTCCGCTTCTGTAATTCACCGTCGACGAAATCTTGTTCACCGGAAACAAACTTAAACCTCCGGATCTCCATTCTCCTCCTTCTCGCTGCTTGAGAAGAGCTCCGTTCTCGTCTCCTCGTTGTCGTCGTCGTCTTCTTCACCACCGTCGCCGTCGTTTTCGTCATCATAGTCTCGTTCTCGTAACAAATCTCAGCCATGCGATCGTCGAAACTGTTCAGCAAACACACTCCATCACTCTCCCCCGAGAAAAAAAAACTAGTAAACGAGACACAGGACAGAGAAGAAGAAGAGAAGCTTAAACAAGATTAGCCATGGAAGCTTTATATTAGCAGAAGATATAAATAAATAAATCATCTTTATTTTACGGGCAGACCGAGACTTTTGAACGGGCAGATCAAAACTCAAAATCAAATGGAAGGAATGAAGAAGAGAAGATTGTTGAATGGCGTGACGTATCGCTCCTCTATCTGGACGAAGAAATCTTGACCGTTGATTTTAGCCACGTGTAATGGTACTTCTCCTAAATCGCGATAGGAAACACTTACGTGTGCCAATCAAATTCTAACACAACTCTGACCTAAAGTGAAAAGAACCTTTGATGACACGCATGCGATCTCTAAACCTTTTTTTTTTTTTTAGATTTTTACGAAGTTTTGTTGTGGAAATTTACCTTACCATTTCCATTTGTTTTACTATAAACTACAACTAATTACGTCATCTCTGTCATCACAACTAATTAACTTTATTACATATGCAATATAACATGCGATCTCTAAACCTCTTATTTTATAGATTTTTACCAAATTTTGTTGTGGAAATTTACTTTACCATTTCTATTTGTTTTACTATATAAACTACAACTAATTACGTCATCACTGCCATCACAACTAATTACGTCATCACAATTCACAGCTAATCAATTCAATTAAAAAGGTTGGAAAAAATTAATCTTTTTACCTGAGTGAAAATTAATTTGGTGTTTTAGTCTAGTGATGATGATTCATCGCGTTTGTTTTTTTGGTGAGCGTGACAATACGGTATATATCATCGTTTGTAAAGTTTGGTGTGTCTAATGGCAACTTATTCTAGAAAAAACTGACTATCTGCGACTACGAAACATAAGAGAAAAAGGTGATAATTAGTAGAATATGTCACTATAAATTTAAAGTTGGTGCGTAATACGTATTAGAAGCAATTGTTTTTCGACAAAACGTCTTAGAAACAATTTGAGGCTACATATGCTAATTTTTAATTAGAACAATTCCTTATTTTAAAAAAAAGTATGTTCAAAATTTGTAAGTTAATACTTAAATCATTTTAACACTTGTTCTATTTCGTTTGTTTTACTTGTCTGGTCTAGCATTTTTATTCTGTGTTTGTTCCATTTGTTTCATCCCCCCTTTTTTATGCTGCAAACAGTCAGAGTTTTAGAATAGATATATTTAAGACATTTCATATGGTGTTTTAATATTCAAAGATTTTTAAGGATATGTTACCTAGTTTTACAATTGAGATGACGAAAATGAATTTGAATACTTACTTATTCATGGTTTTAATCTTGACAGGTGTCCGGAATATTCAATGATTTACAATCGTGTAATCTTATGACTTATGAGGCAGTTCAAAACTGATTTTATATCTATAATATTCTAAATATCACCATCTAATGTTTGACACATTATAATTTTCTTAGTTGATAAGCAGCATTTTGTGAATAAAATAAAAGTGAACATCATTCCCCAATGTTTGACACATTGGGATTTTGTGAATTTAAAATAAAAGTAACTAAAATTATATGCAATTCTTTAGATTATAATTTTTTAAATTATTATTCACTGTTAATTAATATCACAAATTAAATCGGGTGACAACACAACGACTATTTTTATACAAATCATTGGATACATGTTTTTCTCTACAACTATTAGTAATTTTCTCAGCAAAAAACAAAAATATCCAAATGAATAGTAACTACTAACTACTACTAATCAAAAGCATCACAAACAATGTGTAAGTTTGATCCACACAATTAATAATATGATGATAGTAACTTACTAAGTTGCATAAATCATGTACGGATATGCGAAAACAAGACGTTAGAAGGCAAAAACGGTATTTATATCAGAAAATCGAAAGCATGAAGTGGTAAATTATCATTAGCTTTTCCTGTAAACGGTTATTTAGCTAATTTTCTTTTGTTATGAATTCATGTATGCAAATGTTGTTTTTTGCTCTTTGTAATGGTTTTATCCATTCGATTTGTTTTTTCTGAGTTGAGATTGATGTCTTTATAAACTTTGTGAATTCTTTGGTTTTGTCTTTTAGAGCTTTTTATTTGAATATGAATATTTGTATAATTGATATTTCAAATTTTATATATAGAATTCCGGTTGAAACAAAAACAAAATAAACTATAAAAACAGAAATTAACATAGATTATATATTGGACATGTCAAATTCGAGTGAACTATACACTTGCATTTTTTATTATTTTTTCGGGGAACAAATTTTACGTTAGAAAATTTTTCAACTATTAGAAATAAACAAAAACATAACGTTTTCAAATATAAAATTAATCAGGAATGGTGTCCAGTGACACACAAGTACGTAGATGGGGTTTTTTGGAAAACTGGGGACCACTTCTCTAACATTTAAAAATGTTGACCCCTCTCTAACCTGTTTTCTTCCTCGATATTCGACACGTGTTTACATTCTTTACTTATGTCTTGACCCAAGATTGTTTTTTGGTCAACATTCATTTACTGCGTTTAAGTAGGATCGAGAGTTGTAATTTGGGCTTAAACTGTTACGTCGTAGAACATAATGTTTATGTAATGTGATGATGATATTTATTGAATACTAATTTCGTAATAATTTCTTTTTCTTTTTTTCCTTATAGTATTATTACAATTCTATTTTATGGATTGACTCATTTTTATAACATTCCCTAGGAATGCTCTTTTGAAGAAAATTAGTTAAAGTTGTTGATTAATAAAAAAAAAATTGACTCAATTTTTACAATCTTACCACAAAATCATGGATGGATCATCATCATCATGAGACAGATTTGCCATTGAAGGTTTAGGTCCCCGTTCACCATAATTTTTATACTGAAAACATAACATGATCAATGATATGAATTTCTACTAAAATGTAGCTAATAAAAATATAAATGGTACAAAATGGAGACTTGAGATCGAATTTGTATAGAAGTCTTGTCGAAACGAAACTCTATACTTTTGGTATATAGAGACGAGTTGAGCTAATTAATCTACATATATAACGAATAATTGTCCCCAAAAAATTGTGAACTTCTAAAACAATATTTTGTCAAAAATACTTTATAAATGTAGTAAAATTACTAAAATGCAAGGATGTGACGTATATATAGCATAGTAGTGCAGTAGTAAAGCGTGACTATCGAAAATCACATCTTTTACTAGTGAATCTTATCATTGTGCCTACATAATAATATGGGTTTTAGATCATATTAGTATTAAATTATTACTTTTTCTGTTTCAAAATATTTGATGTTTTGAATAAAATCACAAATTTAAGAAAGCAATTAATATTTATTTGGTTAGTATATTTTTACATTGAAAACATAACTTAATATCTAACTAAAAATAATTTGACCAATGATAAAAATTACTGCTGAATATTAATAGTCAAAAAATTGAATGAGTTTAATTTTTGACATAGAAACTTGTATTTTTTTTTATAGAACATGTTATATTGTGAAACAAAACAAAATGTCTAAAACATCATATAATATGAAACAGAGGGAGAAATAAACAAATAATTAAAATAACCTAACTAAACAATGATGAAAAAAAAAAAACCCTATTTAAACAGAAAAAAAAGGAGAGAAGCTCATCTTTTTGCGGAAAATTCTCTGGGACGTGGCGGCAAGCAATAGGATGACGTATTGACGTGTGAGCTGATGAAAAAAAAGATAGCAGTCGATGATTTGAATTATGTGGGTCCCATATTACAAAAAAAAATCGAAGAGAAAAAAACACGAAGCGCGTGTGACACATGACACGTGTCTTCTGAAACTGCATAGCAGTTGCCAGGTTTTTGAAGTTGACAGTAGGCAAATACATCCTGCCACGTGAAAGCTTTATATTTTTTTCTCGTGTTTAAAACTTATAAATTTTGTCCCCTACATTCGTCGAGCTCTATACCAGCAAGGCAGCAACCATCACTTTCAAATCTTATGTAAATATATATAAGACGAAATTTTTTTGTATCAAATTTTAGTTTACTGTTATTGTCAAATAAAAAATTTGTTTACTGCTCTTTTTTTTGGGTAGTGTGACTCCCAAATGTATAATGTTGGTGAACTATATCATTGATAGGAATAAGAAGAAAAAAAAAGAGTAACTGAAATATAGTTTGTTACTTTAGTAGGTGGTTGGGAGAGCTTTGGCAAGGAGACAATATATTGTCCTAGTAAAGCTAGTTTGATTAATTATCTCATATTTGTTTTGTAACTTTGAATTGAAATCTTACCAATATGTCGTTGGAGTTTCCACATCATACATTAATACAAAATGCTTTTCTTGATAATGATCAATGCCCGATCTCATTAATTTTCATACTTGATGTTGAGTTATATATGTTTTTAATGGATTCTTCTGTTTTAATTTATTTCAAAACCATGCGCCAAATCCACCGTATGAGAATCCATTAAACACATAACTCAACATCAAGTTTGAAAGAAATGTAACATATATTTTACCTAGTTCTAACGACTAGTCTATGTAGAAGCTTAATGTTCCAGTCTAAACATAAATTGTTTGAAAGAAAGTTCGGCAATTACGAGAAAACCAATGATGTGTCATCATTGTCCATCAGACTTAAATAAGGTTTAGGTCTAAAGTCTAGTTTTGAGGCCTAAGGAGACGCGTGTCGGACACAAGCCCCACGTTGCGGTTAAAGGTCGTTGGGTCGCAGTTACCTATGGAGAAGCTTCAATACTTACTTGGCAAATTTGATTCCGACACGTGTTTTCCCGGGGCAGATTTTTTCCCTGAGCCTGCATGGCCGGCAGATTGCGTAGTCTTTGAATTTTACTGTTACTTAGTCGACATTCGTCAAGTTGGCACCAACCTCTTTTACTTTTTCAAAAGGAAAATTCAGACGAAGTTCTTAACCTAATGATCTAAAATGATATTATAAATGATCAAAACTATCAAATTTTGATAATCTGGTTATAAAAGTTGTAAAAACACTAGGCACACCGAATTTTATATATACAGTCGAGTTTTGTTCTTTTGTTCTAATAGATATGCATATTTTTCTGTCAACTACACTTTATATTATTGGATTTGAATCCATGACGACCATACAATACAAACACTAAGCTACAAATCCTAATATTTAAAATATATAAGAGTAGTATATATGAATATTTGTTTTGTTATATATGAATACATATGAATATTTGTTTTATACGCTAAATGTTTTGAGAAAATGATTGTTGTGGTTTGGCTAAACCGATTCAAACAAAGTCGTTGAGTATTTCTCCTAACCTCGTACATTAAAAAAATATAGTATGGTGAATTTTATATCTTTCAGATGCAAGCAATATGGCATGGGAAATTTGACCGTTGAGTTTGGTGAGGTTGCTCATCTGATCTAATACGCCATTATATTATACTACTAATTTATGTCAATTAGCTTGATTAAAGATATAAACTGTCCTCAATCAATGTTTAAAGATGCCATCTTTATAGATCACCACGTGTTTATCAAACCCGACATTTTGCAAAACTATTTAGAAACATTTTATAATTTGAATTGACGACTGTCTGGGGAAAAATAGGAAAAAGAAGAGTAATTAAAGGGACAAAAAACCAAAAAAACAGAAAAATTCCAATTTCTTCTCTACCAAAAAGTTTAATCGCTCATGCCTTCCGTCACGACACAAACGACACATGTCTATCGGTGATATATACAAATCAAACTTTTCTAGATTTTATATATATGCTTAAGAACCCAAAAGTATATGATTCGTGTCGTGATAAGCATTTGGTCTAGCGATCTACGATAACTTTTGTAAAATATTTTTTTTTGATAAGAAACTTTTGTAAAATATTTCTTATAAATCATTTATAATGTAGTATTATTATAGTTTTCGTAAGTGTTGTTTGTTTAAAAAGTTGCCTGGTAGTGGTATCTATTACTCCAGTCCTGACTCCTGATCTTAAACTGGTAAACACTGCTCTGTCTTAATTAGAGCTAGTTGTTTTTCTGGAAAACTATCCAAAATTCCAAATTAAAGAAATGTGTTTGAAGGTTACTAGGTCGAGTTATAATGTTAGGAAAAAGACTAAATTTATGTACGCTAGTCCTCGACTGGAGAAAATTATGAGTCAAAATCCTAATAAAAAAAAGTTGATGAACCCATGGTATTGGAGTTTTAATGTTAGGAAAAAGACTAAATTTTAGAAAAACCTAAAACGACGTTGTTTATTGCGTCCCTAATTTTTATTGTATTGGCCCAAAGTCCAAGTTTTGTCACATGACACTTTTACTGGGCCAGTCATTGCTAATCTCAGCCCAAAACAACTTACACCCAATGACAATAAGATTGAAACGGACGGCTGAGATTGCATCCTATGTTGAGTCGGTGTTGGAATTTGGAAAGGGCTTTCTCACGTAATAACTTAAGCTTAAAGAGGGTATTTTCGTCAATAAGCAGCGTGTTATTTCCTTTTTTCGGGTTGAGAAATTGGACCCGGAAGAACTAATTTAGTTTCGGGTCGGGTTATAAACCTCTATAAATACCCCTCCCTATATGGCATAGCCCGCTTCACGATTTCTTCTTCTTCTTCGTCGTCTCTCCCAATCTTCCAATTAAGCTCTGATTCACTTTCTCCGGCGAACGGTAATTATAACTCTCAATTAGGGTTTCAAAGAAAACCCGAAACTCACATCACCTTGAGTGAATTGTATTTATACTCTCAATTAGGTTTTAGAACGCTTTCGCTGGCTGTTGTTTATCCCCAGATTGTATCTGATTTTGATTAATATTTGTGCTTCTCTTTGTAGGTTTTCTTTGAATCGTCTCACGATGGTGTTATCGACTAGCGACACTAGCACCTCTTACAACTATGTCATCGATGACGTTATCAACAAGTCTCGATGCGAGCTCGTCTACAATGGAGAACTTGAAGAGAGTGTTCTTAGCCAGATTCAATCGGTTAGTTCTCCTTTGTAATTTAGGGTTTTAGGAGGATGCAGGGGATTTTTTGAAACTGATTGAGAACTTTATGTGTCTATAGAAGTGGAAAACGAAGATGATACAAGCCGGAGTCATAACCGGAACAATCGAAACATCTGCTGTTGCGATTTCCGCACCTCCGATATTGCAGGCGACTCTTCAGACTCCGCGGGATGCAATTCCTTTACCTGAGAAGATGTCCATAAAGAAAGAGTGTGACGAATTTTATATTCCTCAGCAAGATGGAGCTAGAGATGAAGCTATGGTCACTTATGCTCCTAATGGTGATTTTCAGATTTGAATAAAATGCTACAGTTTTATTAATGCTGTTCTGGTTTCTCACTTGTGTGAATGGTCAAGATGTAGATGAGAATGAAGAGCTTTTGAACGAGGACGATGATGATGAGGAAGATGATATGGATGATGATGATACGAACATTCCACATTTGGTCATGTGTCAATTTGACAAGGTAATGACTATAGTTTTTCATTGGAACAAAGTACTAACAATGATGATGAACTTCAAACTTATACTTCCAACTACTTGCAGGTGAAGCGTTGCAAGAACAAGTGGGAGTGCAAATTCAATGCGGGAGTTATGCAGATAAACGGCAAAAATGTTCTTTTCTCACAGGTTTGAGACAAACTTCTTCACAATAACAGAAATTGTTCAGATTTCACTTTGGCTCACGCATCCTCTTATTTTATGCAGGCCACAGGAGATTTCAACTTCTAGAAGATGCAACTAGCTTTACTCACTTCTGATTATGCAGAAGATATTTTGGATTTGTTTCAATAATAATACCTCTTTCCAAGGGATTATTCAATGGAATTTGCGAAATTTGACTATAAATGATCAATATCCATAAACATGAAGATCTCTCAATGCAAACTCTAAACTCAACAAAAGAATAAATAAGGCTTTTCAACTATCAAGATCAAAAACGTTAAGTTACTAGAATAAAAAATGTGTTTGTTTCTTATGCAGCACCAGCATTCTTGCCCTTCTTTTTTTGAAGTTTCTTCATGTAGAATTCGAGCTCTTTTCCTTCCAATATGTACCTGTTTCGAATTACACCACAACAAGGATCAGCATTAACTCAGAGAAAACAAGATGTGATGATTTCAAACCAAAATATTTTGTTCTTTACCCATCAGCACGGCCACTTTGTCCGGGTCTTGATGCGATACATGCAAGCAACCTTCCACTGCTAAACTGCTCTTCAAGGTGCGAGTCAAGTGCTCGGCCTTCTTGTCGCATCTCCAGCTTCCTTTGAATATGATTGCTCTTCTTTACTTCCTCAGTGGTTACTGCATCTCCTTCCTATACAGACAAATAAATCAGAATCGGTTTATCAAAAAAGTACAGTCAACAAGTAATCATCATCAAAGAAACCACACCTCTCCTTCTTTCTTGGCTGCAGCAGCTTTCTTCTTGCGACCAATATCAACTCCATAGTGTTGGAGATACCCTTGTTTAAAGGGAGCGGCATCAACTAGAACAATAGCACTCTTCACAAGAGTTTGTGTACGAACAAGCTCATTGTTTGATGCATTGTAAGCCACATCCAAGATCCTAGTCTTACGGGTCACAGCTTCACTTCCCCACGAGAAGTTTCCAGTATCGAGCCTCAAAGCTCTCCACTTTACATTCCCACCACGCACACGGATCCTCCTCACTGTCTTGTTACTTGACAGCTTAGTGTTAGCTGGTTGTCTTCCAAGCTCATACCTTTATAACAGATAACCAAAGTTAGTTTCAGTGATCAATTTTGCTTCAACCAAAATCAAAGAACAAGACAAGATCATGATACATTTTGATTCCAATCTAAGCTCTAATTCAGAGGAAATTATCAAAATTGAAGCAGTGGAAGATAAAAAAAGCTTACTTTCTCTTCTTTCTCCACATCTTCTGCTTACCACCAGTGGCACGTCTCTTGTGAATTGAATCACGAGAGATACCTGCAAAACAGAGAATCAACGTTGATGCTATAAAAGTTACATCTTTGTAAGAAATAGAACGAGAAAGAAGCGGAATTGAAAAAAAATACCCATGATTTCAAAAGCGTTTGATTCAAGCTTTTTGTTCTCACGAGCTTCAGAGGTTTAAGAATGGCGGTAGAGAAAATGATAGAGACATAGAGGTATAAATAGTTTACTCTCCCAAACACAAACAAAAAACCCTAAAACGTCAATTTACAATCGTGTCCTTGCTTCAAATACAACCACACATTAATGAAAGAATCAATTTTGAAAAATAATAATTATCAAAGAGTCAAAATCTCTAGAGGATGAGAGATATTTTAGACCAAAATTAGCGGGAGAATCCTCAGTTGTTTCACTCCGATCCGATCATGGCTTTCGCTGTCTCGGTTCAGTCACATTTCGCAATCAGAGACTTAAAACGAGACCAGTTCAAGAAGAACCCATCTCCGCGTACTTCCTGCTCGTGTTTTAAATCGAGGTCTGACTCGTCTTACCTAAGTTTAAAGGAACGTACTTGCTTGGTTTCCAAGCTGGGTTTAGTCACTACTAGATACAGAGCTAAATTCCAGGTGAGAAGCAATTTTCTGGATTTTGATTTCTTCTAAAAAAGTTTCAAAAGTTTTGATTTTTTCCGGTTTTGGTTCATGGTTAGGTCGGAGCTGGGACGGGAGGAGAGTTAGCCGACGGTGGAGAAGTAGCTGATTCGATTGCTTCTGATGCATTAGAGTCATTTTCTTGGTCTTCCGTGATACTCCCGTACGTATTGATCCGTCTCGTTATTTCAATTAACTGTTCTAGATTTGTCAATTTTCTGAGTGATGTGTTTGGATTGCCTCTGTAATGATCTTGCCTAATGAATTTCTTTGGCTAGATTGATCTTCGCATTGCAATGATTTAATAGTAATGTACTTGAATCGTAGGTTTATCTTCCCGGCTTTGGGAGGACTATTGTTCGGGTATGACATTGGGGCCACCTCCGGTGCTACGCTCTCACTTCAGGTTATCTAAATCCTCTGCTTTTATCTACTTACATATTAGCCTCCAAACTTAACATTATGTGCTGTCTCATATGGTCTTGAACAGTCACCTGTGCTTAGCGGAACTACATGGTTTAACTTCTCACCTGTTCAGCTAGGACTTGTGGTATGTTGCTTGGAGATATTTTTCTATATTTAAGCGGTAGAGTTAGCAGAAAATGATAGTTTTTACTGCATTTTATTATGTAGGTTAGCGGATCATTATATGGAGCCCTTCTTGGCTCAATTTCTGTCTATGGCGTTGCTGATTTCCTTGGTAAGTCTTGTTTTTTTGTTTGAGTCTCGTTCTTCTTAACTGGTTGCAAGTGTCTCATTCTGGTTTTCTTCCCATCTTTATGAAGGAAGAAGGCGGGAACTTATTATAGCTGCTGTTCTCTATCTCCTCGGGTCTCTGATTACTGGCTGTGCCCCTGATCTTAATATTCTCTTAGTTGGAAGGCTTCTTTATGGCTTTGGTATTGGTTTGGTGAGCCCTGGAAACCCTGAATCCTTATGGTAATTTCTTTGTTACTTTTGTTGTTGTTTAGTGTTTAACGTAAATTGGTTTTGCTTGATAGGCAATGCATGGGGCTCCCCTCTATATTGCTGAGACATGCCCATCTCAAATCCGTGGAACTTTGATATCTCTGAAAGAACTCTTCATCGTATTGGGAATTTTGGTAAATGTCGATGTCAATCTCTTCCCTGTATGATTTCTGCGTAATACTTTTACTGAATAATCTTGATTTCCTTCTTGTGCAGTTGGGTTTTTCTGTTGGAAGCTTCCAGATTGATGTAGTTGGAGGGTGGCGTTACATGTATGGATTTGGTACGCCTGTTGCTTTGCTGATGGGACTAGGCATGTGGAGTCTCCCTGCATCTCCTCGCTGGTTGCTGCTTAGAGCTGTCCAAGGTAAAGGGCAATTACAAGAGTACAAAGAGAAGGCCATGCTTGCCCTCAGCAAATTACGTGGCAGACCTCCAGGTGATAAAATTTCGGAGAAGTTAGTAGATGATGCCTATTTATCTGTGAAAACGGCCTATGAAGATGAGAAATCTGGGGGAAACTTCCTGGAAGTATTCCAAGGGCCTAATTTGAAAGCTTTGACAATTGGCGGAGGTTTAGTCCTCTTCCAACAGGTGATTCTTCTTCGCTGTTTCCATTTGGATGAATGTGTGAGCATTTTTGAAATAATTTACACTCTGCTTCGCTGTGCCAGATAACTGGACAGCCTAGTGTTCTTTATTATGCGGGTTCGATTCTTCAGGTATGCTTGCCTTAACATTGAAGTGAATGAGATTACCTACTAATTTTTACTGCCTTAGTCGGATGTTTAATGAGGCTTTATGCTCGCTTATCTATTCAAAGACTGCTGGATTCTCTGCTGCTGCTGATGCAACTCGAGTCTCTGTTATTATTGGTGTTTTCAAGGTGCTCATTTCTTTTCTTTTAGGATGTGTAAATATCTTATTTGCTACCAAGCTTCTAGTTATTCAATACTGACCTCTTCAATTGATAACGCTCAACGAAGTTACTGATGACATGGGTAGCTGTTGCGAAAGTTGATGATCTCGGCAGACGACCTTTACTGATTGGAGGTGTCAGCGGCATTGTATGAATCCATTTTTATGTCTATATCTTCTGTTTCTTGTTTTGCATATAAAAATATCATTTCTTATATTTCTTCCAAATTCCAGGCGTTGTCCTTGTTTCTACTGTCAGCATACTACAAGTTTCTCGGAGGCTTTCCCCTTGTCGCCGTTGGTGCACTGCTTCTCTATGTTGGTTGTTACCAGGTTTGTACTGTAGCTCACTGTTAGCTGTAGCTACATAGTTTTATCACTAAAGTCTTAGCAATATTCACTAAAAAGTATTTCCCTCTCTGTTTTTATTTCCTACGAACCAGATCTCATTTGGACCCATCAGCTGGCTAATGGTGTCAGAGATTTTCCCGCTTCGCACAAGAGGGAGAGGGATCAGTCTTGCTGTTCTTACAAACTTTGGCTCCAATGCTATTGTGACCTTTGCATTTTCACCCTTAAAGGTATTTTTTTCCGTTCCCACTGGTTCAAATTCCCTTGAAGTTATTACTAACACTATCAAAATATGCATTCTCTGTAGGAATTTCTTGGAGCCGAGAATCTTTTCCTTCTCTTTGGGGGCATAGCACTAGTATCACTGCTGTTTGTGATACTAGTAGTTCCAGAAACCAAGGGTCTCAGCTTGGAAGAAATTGAATCAAAAATTTTGAAGTGAAATGTTGAAAAAACATGTTTGTTATAGTTAATTCTGGTGAAATTCATGTATATTGATTTAACTATTCTCTTTGTAACATAACATATTTCATACTCTATGGGAAAACCATACCTTTTCATGATTATTCGAGCAGTAATTAGATATTTTTGGTTGGGGATGCAAACGACAAAAACCGGGAGGTAAGCATTAAGGTTTTCCCCAAGCTTATGTCGGCATTTCCCTCTCTCTGTTCTAAGTTACTCCATCTATGGTCTGTTTTATTTGATTAATGAAAAATGATAAAACATCCTTCTGCTCAGATTAACCTGCCTGAATAGGTGGACCAAGCATAGGAATGAAGAGTTGATTTGGTAACATAAGCACATACCTTCTGTTCTTCGACCTATGTATGTATGTATGTATGTATGCATTCTTCCACTAATATCCAGGTAAGGTTTATGTCAATGTTTTTGCTGATTTTGTAGGTTCTTGGGGAAAGCATGTGGGGGTAACTAGATGCAGTCTTTCAGGAAATATATTATCATTTCCTTCAAGATAAGGTATGTCCTCTGGCTTCTACCGCAAACAGAGTAGCCCAAGCTTCAGTATCATATTCATAGATAGAATCCTTCCAATCTAGTTTGACACACCTAGCCAACCCCTTTATGATGTTAAACTTTTAAGACCAACTGAAGTGAAATTTTCTTGGTTAAACAATAAGTCGTTAGGGTTCATATGGCATCAAGGGAATATAAAGAAATGTGTTTTTATAGCCAATTTCCCTGAAATTATATACAAAAGAAAGTAGTTTACTGCAGCAATAGATTTGCAAACATCCCATCATATAGGCAATCATTCACACTAAAACACAATCATTCACACCAAAACACACTTAAATATAGTAGAAAGTACTTTCTTGTAGTTAAAGCAGCTTGTGTTGCATGCTCTAGCGACCACCAAATAGGACTGTAACATCCTCAAATGAGAAATTAGCTGATGAAGAGGTTGTTGTCATCTGTGTTACTGTTTCATGGCTTATATTGGGTATACCAAGTGCAACAGTATCAAATGATATAGCTGGAACACTTACATTTCCTTCCAGATATTGTAATATCTGTCTCATACTGGGTCTGTTTTCTGGGTTACTTTGTGAACAGAGCATCCCTAGCTTCAAAAGCAGCTTGACCTCCCCAACTTCATAGCCTATTAGTTTGCTGTCAACAGTATCAGTTAAAGCATCTCTTCTCCCGCAACTCGCAACCCACTTAACCAAAATCATTTGCTCACGTGGTGCATCAGGGTCTACTGGCCTCCTCCCACATACAACTTCAAGGATGAAAGCTCCAAAAGCATAGACATCGGTCCAAGTAGTGGTTACTCCCATTGCAGTAAGCTCTGGTGCCATGTAACCAATGGTTCCTACCACTCGTGTGGCTTCAAGATTGACACCACGATCGTGGAATCTGGCTAACCCAAAGTCTCCCAACTTTCCATTTAGATCGGCATCTAAAAGAATGTTGCTGGCTTTTATATCTCTATGTAACACAACTTGTTCCCACTCTTCATGCAGATATAGAAGGGCAGATGCAACTCCCTTGATTATATTTACTCTCTGTGACCAAGTGAGGTCTTTCAGCTTGTTTTTATTGAACAAGTAGTCATCAAGGCTTCCATTTGGCATGTAATCATAGACCAAGAGCAATTCACCTTTCCTTCTGCAGTAACCAAGGAGCTGCACCAAGTTTTTGTGCCTTAGCCTTCCCATACTAGCTATCTCTGCCACATACTGTTTCATTCCTTGTTCTGCATCATGGTAGACTTTCTTAACTGCGATTTGTGTACCACTGGGAAGTATTCCTTTATAGACTTTTCCAAACCCTCCTGCTCCAAGCAGCTGATTCTCCCTGAAACCTTTGGTTGCTTTGTACAGGTTCCTAAAGGAGTACCTTTGGGGACTATATTCCTTTTCCCATTGTTCAAGCACCTCCGCATACTTCTTTTTCTTGTACAGATACAAAATTCCTCCCAATATTATTAGAAAAAAAACAATTGTTGGTATAATAATAATAGTGCCTAGAATCACTAATGGCAGTCTTGATAGAGAAGATGGTGGAGGAGAGGGTGGTGGTGGAGAAGATTGTGGTGGAGAGGTTGGTGGCGGAGAAGATGGTGGTGGAGGATCCGAAATTCTTGAAATGTCAAGGCTTTTCGGTTCTCCGCCTTTCTTGAAACTCCACCCTAGGATATACTGGTTACTTTTGATTGTACCTGTAGAACCAGAAAAACCTACATACATCGTCTCATTGAAAATTTCTGAAAGATTGATGGATGTTGACAAGAGTGGCACCCTTGGTTTGATGGAACTTGAAAAGAGAGGCGAAACTGGCTTTGAAGTTGGTACTGGAGCTAACGTTACATTTAGTAATTGCTCTATTCCATCATAATCTATCCAGATCAGAATACTTTTTCCACTAGCAAGCAGCAGGCTTTCGTTCTTTCCTTCTGTAGCATTAAAGTAACTAGCCTCTGCAGATTTAAATGAGTCTGTAGTGTAAATATCAATACCCACTTGGTTATCGCTTTTGTCTGATTGCTCAGGGCTTTTATGAGTGTCAAGTTCTACAGCAAAGATATGGTTTGTAGTGTTGTTATCATTTGTTTTGTTGAAAAGCCCTAAATATGAATTTTCAGTACCGTTTGACCCGAGGTCTTTGGTAGGAGATACCACAAAAGCCATGCCGTGACCGTAGGCATAGGTTTGCAGTGGGAAGATTGCAAAGACAAATTCTGTTGAAAAGGAAAATGAACTGAGGGAAGACGCTGGGAACTTGATGGGAATATTGTAGAAAGCGTGACCGGTGCTTGTGTTTGTATTATTTGTTAGATGCAATGGACCATCGTTGGTATTTGCCATTCCATCAAGTTTCAGGTTTGCATTCTTGAAGTTATAGTACAAAAATTGATCTCCCTCTTGAGCGAACACCAAAAAGGTTACATGGATACCAATAATCATCCAGAAACCCACTGATCCTAGAACTCCAGCCATCAGGAACAAGGATGATCTTCTCTCCCACCTTAGCTTGTAAATCTCAGATTCTTCTGCACCTTTTTTTCATTTCCATGAGAATTGTGTTTTTTGACTGCAGAAAACCCTGAGTTGACATTTGGAAGACACTATCAAAGAAAAGGCAAGAAAGTTTCTTTCATTTTGAATTGGTAATAGATCAGTGCCTATGTCATCATGTAGATGTTTCTTACAGTTTTGTGGGTTAATTACTTTGGTAGTCTTCTTATCCTCAAGACAACAAGTCATGGGTACAATTCTATGGCTTTTATTTTTCTGCATCTTTGCTTGTTACTTTCTAGCTGATGTAATATATACACGAGACAGAATGTTTCAGCTTTGACTGATTTGTTTTCACTAGAATGAGTATATATATATATATACCGATGTTTGTGGCAAGATGAAGTAAATAAATCTGCACTTATTTCCTTAAACACTAAGTTGAGTTTCATATGTTGATATATATGACAAAGCATGGTTAAATGAAGTTTGAACTAGTCAGGGTCATATGTTTTCATTTTGGATATTCTATGTTAAATTAGGTTATCCTACATACGTGCAAATGTCTCTTATTCTCAGAAATAGGATAGTGGTTAGAACACGTTATTATTAAAACATATTCTAAATCAAGAAATGCTAGTGGCATGTAGTTTAACATCTTTGACTTTCTCATTGATGATGGCATTGTTTTAAATTATGTGTATATATATATATGTGTGAGGAAGGTGGAATATTTAATTTTTGTGAGAACCAGATGCAACTTTGTATTGTGAACATATTTAGCCAAGTGATCTTGGACACAAGTGGTGTCTGGGTTCAAACCTGGGCTTCTGTCATATTGCTGTTCACATTTTCGAGTAGCTATATTGGAACAGTAGACATGTCAGTACGCTTGCACAGTTTGCGAACAACAACACATCACGATACAATCATTTACATCAAAAGGCACAATGGTTTTAGCATAAAAAGAAAGAAAATTCCATATACAATCATTCACTTGAAAGACACAACATTGTAGCAATAACAAATAGCTTTCTTGTAAGTTTAGCAGCTTGTGATGCAGACTTCAACGACCGCCAAATAGGATTGTAACATCTTCAAAAGAGAAATTGGCTGATGAGGAGGTGGTTGTCATTTGTGTTATCGTTTCATTGCTTATATTGGGCATACCAAATCCAGCTGTATCAAATGATATGCTTGGAATAGTGGCATTTCCTTCCAGATATTTTATTACGTCCCTCATACTAGGTCTACTTTCCGGGTTACTCTGTGAACAAAGCATACCTAGCTTTAGAAGCAGCTTGGCTTCCTCAGCTTTAAAGTCTCCTAGTTTACTGTCAACAATATCCATCAAAGTATCTCTTCTCCCACAAGTGGCAACCCACTTAAGTAAAAGCATCTGCTCAGGTGGTCTATCAGGTTCTACTGGCCTTCTCCCGCAAACCACCTCAAGGATGAAAGATCCAAAAGCATAGACATCAGTTTTAGTAGTGGCCACTCCCATTGCTGTAAGCTCTGGTGCCATGTAGCCAATGGTTCCTACCACACGCGTTGCTTGAAGATTCTCGCCACGATCGTGGAATCTTGCAAGCCCGAAATCTCCCAACCTTCCATTTAGATCCGCATCTAAAAGAATGTTGCTAGCTTTTATATCTCGATGTAGTACAACTTGTTCCCATTCTTCATGAAGATACAGAAGGGCAGAGGCTACTCCCTTGATTATATTCAGTCTCTGAGACCAACTGAGGTCCTTGAGCTTGTTTCTATTGAACAAGTAGTCATCAAGGCTTCCGTTTGGCATGTAGTCATAGACCAAAAGCAATTCACCTTTCCTTCTGCAGTAACCAAGAAGCTGCACCAAGTTCTTGTGCCTTAGCCTTCCCATACTAGCGATCTCTGCGACATACTGTGTCATTCCTTGTTCTGCATCATGATAGACTCTCTTAACCGCAATTTGTGTACCTGAAGGAAGTTCTCCTTTATAGACTTTTCCAAAACCTCCTGCCCCAAGTAGCCGATTCTCCCTGAAACCCCTTGTTGCTTTGTAGAGGTTCTTAAAGGAGAACCTTTGGGGACTATATTCATTTTCCCATTGTTCAAGCACCTCCGCATACTTCTTGTTTTTGTAAAAATACAAAATTCCTCCCAAGATCAACAGAAAAGCAATTGATGTTACAGTAACGCTTATGATTATAATATTCTTAGAGTCTTTAGACCTCGAGGTTGGCGGAAGGGGTGGTGGAGGTCGATTAGGTGGATCCAAAATCTTTGAGATGTCAAGGCTTTCTGCTTGTCCACCTTTCTTGAAACTCCATCCAAGGATATATTGGTCACTTTTGACTGTGCCTGTAGATCCTGAGAAACCTACATACATTGTCTCATTGAAAATTTCTGAAAGATTGATGGATCTTGACAAGAGTGGCACCCTTGGTTTGATGGATCTTGAAAAGAGAGGCGAAACTGGCTTTGGAGTTGGTACTGGAGCTAACGTTACATTGAGTAGTTTCTTTATTCCATCATAATCTATCCAGATCAGAATACTTTTACCACTAGCAAGCGACAGAGTTATATTCTTTCCCTGAGTATCATTAAAGTAACTAGCGTTCGCATATTCAACTGAGACTATACTGTTTATATCAATCCCCACATGGTTACCGCTTTTGTCAAATGACTCAGAGCTATCATTAGTGTCAAGCTCTATAGCAAGAATATGGTTTTCAGTTTTGTTATCATTTGTTTTATTGAAAATCCCTAAATCTGAAGTTGCAGCGCCGGCATACCTGAGGTCTTTGGTAGGAGATACTACGAAAGCCATTCCTTGACCGTCGCCTTGCAATGGCAACATTGCAAAGACAAATTCTGTTGAAAAGGAAGATGACGCTGTGAACTGCATAGGGGTTTTGTTGAACGCATGACCAGTGCTCTTAGTTGTATTATTTGTAAGATGCAATCGGCCATCATCGATATTTGCCATGCCGTCAAGATGCAGGTCTGCTTGACTGAAGTTGTAGTGCAGAAACTGATCCCTATCCTGAGCTAGCACCAAAGACACCACATGGATACAAATTATTATCCAGAAAAAAGATTCTAGAACCCCAGCCATCTGGAATAACAATGATCGTCTCTCCCGCCTTAGCTTGTTGTGAATCTCAGATTCTTCTGCACTATTTTTTTCTTTTCCATGAGAATTATGTTTTCCAACTACTGATTACCCTGAGTTGACCTTTACATGGAAGACACTATCAAAGAAAAGCCAATAAAGATTCTTTCCTATTGAATTGGTAATAGATGAGTGCCTATGTCATCATTATTTCTTACAGTTTTGTGGGTTAATTACTTTGGTAGTCTTATCATCAAGTCAAGTTTTGGTTACAATGCTCTGTGCTTTTATTGTTCTGCATCTTTGCTTGTTACTGTCTAGCTGATGGAATATACATGAGACAGAAGGTTTAAGCTGTAATCTGATTTGTTTTCACCTAATCACCTTCAATGAGTATATCTACCATGTTTGTGGCAAATGCAGTAATGAAATCTACTCAAAAACGTAACTAAGCTGACTTTCATATATTGACATTATGAGAAGCTGTGGTTAAATGAGGTTTTAATTAGTCAGGGTCAAATGTTTTCAGTTTGGAAATTCTATCTTTAAACTAGGTTATTTTACATACGTGCACATATCTCTTTTTTCTCAGCTTTGGAATAGTAGTTTGAAAAAGTTTTTATAAAACATATTATAAATCAAGAAATGCTAGTTGCATGTAGTTTTAACTTCTTTGACTTGCTCAATGATGATGAGAGGGCACTGTTTTAAATTATGTGTATAACTGTATATATAAGTAAATAATGAATTAGCTTGCTTCTTTTTCTTCTTTGTTTAAGTCGAAGTCTCCTGCAGATGACCATGTAACTTCTCTGACCTACTCTGCTCTGCAATTACCTCTCTTCGATAAGATGCAATAGTTTGACTTGGCACAAAGAGCATAGATTCTCAACGGTAGCAAAAGCAGAAGAAATGTATTTATTTCAGACTTTTCAGTCATTAAACATTAACAAGAACACCACAAGACAGGAAAGCTCTACTTGTAACAATTACAAGTGAGTTCTGTGCGGATCAGTTGCGGTTTGAATACGTAAAATTCAGCAAATGCTTACCTTTTTCAATGGATAGACACAATATATACAGTATGGTACAAAAGGCGGAGAAATTCAGAAAGAAATGTTTGAAACTATAGCACTTTCAAGTAAATAGGTTTATTCAGATGGTTGTCCTTATATTGTAGGTTTTTGAGGGAAGTGGAATAGTCAAAGTTTGTGGGCAATAGATGCAGACTTCGTACTGGGAACATATTTCCCAAGATTCTTCGGTGACATTTTTTTGGTTTTAATGTGAAGAATTCTTCGGTGACATTCTTCACGGTGAACATATTTATCCCAAGCTTCAGTGACATTCTTCACTAGCTCTCTCCTACTTCTTCAAAGATATCCTTATACAATGTTTACGTGTATACTTGGCTTCCTCTCTACTTCCTGTACTTGTCTCTTTTACATTTCAATGCACAATCAGTTATCAAACCAAAAAAAAAAAAGAATGGTATGATTTATTCATGAAAGTTTCTAAACAAAGCGTAACATTAAATTTACTAAACAAATTGACTGTAGCAGAGTCATCATCTCACGACACAATTATAAATAAAAGAAGAGTTAACTACGATATCTAAAATCTTCTCTTCAAGAATGTTGAACGGTTTTCGTGAAGTAGAGAGCTTCATACTGATTCATCGGCTTGTCTACTGATTCTCAAATCCAAGAGTATGGTTGATCACGATATTGGCGGTTTACAAATATATCATTATCGGCAATCCAATCTCCTTCTTCTTCCCGTGTCATCTCCATGGCATTCTTCTCTGTTTGGTGAACCATGTTTCCTTCTCCACTCTGCTCCCCGTTTCTCTCTGTTTCCGCAGCAGAACAAGGAGATGATGCTATCTTCGGAATCTCTGATTCATTACAACCGCATAATAATGGTTGCTGCTGCTCGGAAGACGCAGCTAGAACAGACTCATGCTCCTTCTTGGACTTCTTGGACTTCCTTTTCTTGATCGGCTGCTGCTCTGAGGAAGAAGAAGCTTCATGTTGATGGTCCTTCTTGGACTCCTTTTTCTTGTGAATCTTGCAGACGACTAGCTCCTGAAACTTATCTTCGTCCGGTTTCGGTAACACAATTACAAATTCGTCCATAATCCAGCCGCTTTCGCTGCTTGGAGCAGAAGCACCGTCTCCTCTCTTCTGCTTCTTGTTCGTGTTGGTGCCTTATAAGTTAGGTTTTTCTTGATCCCAATGATATCCCCTGTATCCTTGTCAATGATATCTTCTTTCGCATTTATCCTCCAGTTCCCGCGGTCGATGCCGTCGTTGTTGCCTATCTTCCGCTTCGGGTACTTACCACGACCAATCTTCTTCTCGGAGATCTGATTCCTTGTTGAGAAGTAGTACCATTCGTCTTCCTTGAAAAAAGAATTGTTGGGATGGTCCAGCAGCCATGGCTCCTTGGCATAAACATCCTTCATCAATATGAAGTCTCCACAGTCTTCACCTCTTAGCTTCGGTTTAAGATACTTGTGGATGACTTCTTCGTACGTTGGATCAAAATGAATCCCTTCGTCTTCTTTGTAGTACTCCATCGTCATCTTTATGGTTCTCAAGGATTAAGGTTGAACTGAGATCAAAGCGTTTTTTTTGTTGTTGTTAGTGCTATGATTATAAATGACGAAAAGAGATTAATGATTGTAAATGATGAAGAGAGATTGGTGTATATATTGGTTATATATGATAGAATATAGGAAGGAGAATTGAACCCAACGAAGGTGAGATGTCGATACTAACAGAGCACATATAAAAAAAATTTTACCTCGACGATGGTGAGATGTTTCAATGTCGAATGGATATGTGGAGAGGGTAAAACCATCAATATATAGGGAGATATATTCTAGGGACATTCTATCAAAATCGTATACTTGTTTTGTTTTTAATTATATTAAAAAAAAAAGATATATAAAAACAATATTAAGATTTTGTATATATCTTAATAATGTTTTTATAATTATCTACAAAACTTATTAATTAGCTACAAGACTCCTTATATTGTTTTGTTTGTAGCTAATTTCTAAATTTAATTTAATGAATTTTGTTTTCATAAAAATCTCATGATAAAATATTATCTCTTAAAACGAAATTAAATAAAAAAATTATAAGAAATTCGTTTTAAATATTTTAGCAATTTAGAAAAAAAGAAATTTATCCAAAAAAAAAATCATCTTTCAAACTAATCCAAATCAATTCAAAAAAAATATATAATAAATAACTAATAATATATAACTTTTCTTTCCTTATTTATTTAATATCCAAAATATTTACATCGATTATTGTAATCGATGTCAATATGTATCATTTGCAAAAAAAGATGTTAACTTTGACATTAGTTTATTTAAGTGATATTAATATTTATTTCGGTTAAAAATGATGTTAATATTTCTATAATTTTCAAATAATAATCTTAAATATTTTCCACAATTACTATTTTATTAATTATATTTTTTTGGTATAAGAATCATTTTCTTTCATGATAATATATAGGAATAATCGTTTTCAATATTATCTATGAAAATCTTGTTAGATTTTTTTACTAATAATCATTAAAAAAAATCGGCATTTACAAAAATGAAAACGATTCATAAATATATATAACCCTATCAATACAGACTCATCAGCTATTTTACAAAAAAAAAAAAACAAAAAAAAAACTGATCTGAACTTCGATCATGATTGAGCGCTCATATTGAAGTGTTCTATGAAACACATTTTGCTTTTGTTCCTTTCTTTTTCCTTTCTTTATGTCTTGGTGATAAACGAAAATAACATGAAAAAATAAGTCATAAGAGAATATTTGCCTTCAAAGATTTTAGAAGATTAAGTGAGCGACTGTTTTGGACATAACTTGATTCACCAAAAGGTTTATAGTTGGCGTCGTTCAAAGAAGAACTTCTATGGACTTAGAGAAGAGTTTTATGTTCTTGTGACTCCAGCCTTTTTTTTTTCTCTCGATTTTGGGAAAGAATTTTGACAAAAGATTTGATTTATACTACACGAAAATTTTCTTTAATTTTATTTATAATTTTATTTGAGTTACAGAGACAGTGGGTTGTTTAAAAAGTAGATTGAGTAGTGGAATTTTTTTTTTTTTTAATATACAAAACAGTTACAATACAGAATTGAAGAAAATAACAATAAAAGGTTGAGTTAAAAAAAAAAAAACAATAAAAGGTTAGGAATATAAAGAATAAAAGAAAACAGTTTCATAAAGAGCCATGTAAATAGGAAACTAACTAAAGCCTAAGTACGTTTGCACAAAAAAAAAAAAAAAAAACTAAAGCCTATGTACGTTTGTGAATATAAACCCAAATATAATTACTTATTTGTGGATAAGATTTTTGATATACAGATTAATTATTCTTAAAACTGTTTGTGCGTTTTATAAATTTGTCATTTAAAAAAAAAAACTGTTGTGAATATTTCTAACATGCTAAATTCTTTTAAATCTTTTTTCGTTTTTAAAATAACTTAATTTTTTTATATATATTTTAATTTTTTAATAGTTCTCTTATTTTTTGTCGATTTTCTTTTTCAACAAACCCTCTTCGTCATGGCTTCTTCTTTATTTTTCATTTTTTTCCAGAAAATTTAACCTTTGTTAATTACAAGAATCTAAACCCTAAGAAAATATAGTGTAAAGGGAATCCAAGCAACAAATTTCAGAGATTGTGTGAAGGAATTTTCAATTCTGATTTTATGGTAGTGAGGAGAAAAAAAAGATTCGTGTTTGGAATTGACGAAATTGCGAATGATGGTGAGAACCAAGAGAATAGATATGTAGATACGTGATATAATAGGGAACCATGAAGGGGAAGATTAGAGAAATTTGTGAGTGTTAACCAGGAATTGATCTTGAAGAGAGGAAGGAGAAATTGAACCCGACGACGGTGAGAACAGAACAAACAACAAACATGAGAGCAAAACCATCAATGCAACTTACCAAAAGTGTCTAATTCCGTAAACAATCCAAAAAAGTCCTAATATATTATAAGTTTCTTATTTTTCGGTGGTTTACATACAATTAACTCACTCTTTATAGCTTACGTTTATACGGGGAAGAATATAGGTAGGTGATTGATTAGTGGGAAGAATTTTCCATAAAGAGGGTTCTTTTGTGTTAATATTGCTATTATATCACAGTTTAATAGTTTATATATTATGTTAATATTGTTATTACTAGGAGATGGATCCGCGCGTTGCCGCGCGGAGAAGTAAAATTCTATAAAAATAAACAAGAAATGTTAACCTATTTCAAAATAAATGCTTCATGTCAATTTACCATAGAAATAGTGAAGCGTCTTTTTTAAAGATTAGACATCTAGCAGAAAGGTTTATAAAGTGTGTAGTTGGAAATAGAATTCATGCTAGTTTCTGGCATGATGTTTGGAATCGTTTTAGTCCACTCATCAATTTTTTAGGGGATAGAGGACCGAAATCATTACATATCCCTATAAATGTATATTTGCTACTTGTAATGCAAAGGGTTGTTTTATCCCTCCTCCAAGATCTGAACATGTGTTTAACTTTGCATGTTCATCTCACCACTGTGAACCTTTCAAGTATATCCTCCTCGTAGGATTCCTACAGCCGGTATATTGATAGTGTAAAATGCAAGGGATTCTCACAAAGACATGACATGTTCTTAGGCTGACTAAACCTGAAAAGGATCGACATAATTGTGTATGGTTTAAAGGAGAAATTAAACTCTAAAGCACGCCTTCATGATGTGGTGACTTTGTTGAACAAACTGTTAACAAAAGATCAATTGCTTTATTGGGGAATGTTAAATGCTACAATTTGTTGCTAGAGCAATTTGTAGGAAAGACTCAATAACATTTTTTATTGGAATGTGCTTTCACTTCACATGTTTGGAGAGCGGTACAATTAATACTTGGTTTCACTATTTTTGGTATTGCAATCTTGGAGGACTCTTTTGACTTGGACAAAGGAAGACTCTCGTAAAGGTCCATCTTTTATTCGGAAACTGGTCACTCAAGCCATTATTTACACAACCTAAAAGCAGAGGAACAATCATCTCCACAAGGCGCAGGAGATCCACCATCCAATCTTCAGGGAGATTGATAACTTGGTGCGGAACACTATCTCTGCTAGATGATACATCCGCAAGTTCTCAAACCTCATGCAACCGCAAGTTCTCAAACACTATTCTTTTTTTTAGCAAAGAAGCAAAATATAGGTATAACTTCTTGTAAGCCTAAACATTCCCTCCTTAATGATATTTACACTTTACAAAAAAACATAAATGCTAACCTGTTACATTTACTGCTAATGTTATTTTTATCCATTCTATAGGCTAAGATTGAAGAGTCATAATTTAGGTATATGATTTGGGAATCAATGAAAATCAAATATGTACCATAAAAAGAACTATGGGTAATTATGAAAGAACCTGGTCAAATAAAGATGAAAGTACAAGTGACACAAATATACATGTAAGAACCTCGATTTATCATGTCAGTAAAATAGAGGCAACATAACCTGAATATCTATATTTAACGGATCAAAACCTTTATAAAACTAATGCTTAATTACGAACGTATAATACTGTGATGTGTAATTTACAGGTTATACTTAATTTGTGTAGAAAGTGCCAAAAAAAAAAAAAAATTATTATTGCTAAAACAATAGAGTCAGGGAGAGAAATTTGACCAATCACGAATTATATAAAGTGTGATATGATGCGTTAATTCATTAACAGGTGTACCATAAATCAGTAAATTTATGCAATTAAAATCGCTGGATTCATTAGCTTTACACAATATTTTTTCACTAAAAAAAATAGTGCCATTACAAACTTCTTCAATCAAAACCATTTGAAATTAAACAAAAAAATGATCACAATTGAATGGAAACTGCAACGTAACATGAAGACACGCCTGTTTCTATCTCTTGGAGATATATCGGAGTTTATCAAGTGACAACGATCGTGGACCGCGGCCAATAAACTTATGAATCCAACGGTGGCAGATGATTGGAGAAGTGAGTGATCAACGAGTAATTAGCAGCTGCAAAGTAGAAAAAGGGACGACTCAACTGATAAACACCAATTTCAACGAAACTCTGTAATCAAATCAACACACAACAAAGAAAGCAAACTAAGAGAGGGCAATTGAAATATCTAAACGAGACACACCGAACAAACCTCTGTAATTGTAAGAAAGAATTATCTAAGAGAGGAGATTGAAGAGAAATGCGGCGGACGATAACTGATCGGTGACAATGGAAAGGTTTATCTCTTCTCGGGAAAGAGTGCAACGGACGCATAGCCGGAGATTGATCTATTGGTATGAACCGAGTAAAAACATACGTGTGGTTTACAATTTATTTTCTTGTTCTATTGAAAAGGGGTTTGGTTGATCTTACACACGTTTGAAGTACCTAGTAAATCTTTGATCGATTGACCACATAAACCCATAAATCTAGAAGATTGGTCTAGATTGATAAGTGGGAGCGAGAGAGACTAATCATCAAAGTTCAGGATAAATATAGATCACAACACAAAACAGAAGGATGTCAATTAAAGCTATTCCATAGAGGAGATAATCGACGAACAAACTTACATGACAACGATGGCCGGTGGTAAGGGTGGAGTCTCAGCCAATCAAAGGGACAAACGGAGATCAGAGGACGAGTCAACAACGACTCGACGAAGAAGTGATACTTCGATGAGAACATACGAAGATTTGGTTGGTTAAGAATGAAAAATAGCAGTTAATAGTAATCTATATATGAAGAATGAGGGATGCGAGAAGTAAACATCGCAAATATTGGCATCGAAGGGGTGTGAGACGAGAAGAGACGCAACAGTAGAGAAAAAAAAAAAAGGAGTTGAGGAGTAATCTCAACCGTACAATTTGTGTCTTTTACATCTGAACCGTTGATTGTTATTTTTTATTTTACTTTTTACGCTGATGACGTTAGCCGACACAAAAAAGTGAGTTTGCTATTATATATAGATAGATATTAGCATTATGGCCCTGCTATGTAGGGATAACATAAATGTCAATTTACATCATATTTCAAAATCCTTTATTATATAAAACAGAAATCAGTCGGCAATTCTGGTTGCGACACGTGTCATCCATAATTTTTAATTACAATTTTTTTTAATCCTTTATTATATAAAACAGAAGTCAGTCGGCAATTCTGGTTGCGACACGTGTCATCCATAATTTTTAATTATAATTTTTTTTAATCAACAGTTTTCTTTTCTTCAATAAAAAAAGAAGAAAAAAAAAAATTAGAAAAAATCCCACGATATGAGTTTTTTTTATTTTTTTTCCACGATCCTCTAATTAACTACCCACTTCGATCACTTTTATCAACTGACCAAATCATCACATATATATATATATATATATATATATATATATAAGAAAGGATTTATATCACAATCGATTCCTCCATTAACCTTCGTCAAACCATTATCGACGTAACCTTCGTCAAACCATCATTGACGTTACTTTTACGAGAAAGACAATTTTCAATCAAATATCGGAACTGCCGTTGTTGCTCGACATCAAGCCCGATCACTCAACAATTCCTGTTCATCTCCATTTTTTGTTCAATTTAACCTTAATTTGTCCATTTCCTTTCTCCACTCTAAAGGTAATTCGTCATCCACTCACCTTCTTCAAACCACCATAGAATCTGATTTTTTTTTGCCAAATCTAGCAGTTAATTTTAATTAGTAATTACACTTTGTTAATTTGCTTGCAGTTACGTACAATTGTGGATGAAGGGAAAACAAAAGGTACAAGAGAAGACGGAGAGGAACGTGATAGTGAATGATCGGTTTCATGTATTTTTTTTTTTTTTTTGAAATAGGGTTTTCATGTTTCATGTATGTACCCCGATTATCTCAGCACCTAACTTTGTTTCCGTTTGTCTCTTTTTCATAAAAAATAACATTGCAATTTGTCTCTCTTTTCGTCATTTTTCTAATTCAAAAACAATCTTTTACATTCCTTTTAACGAGTATATATATATATGGAAATGAAATTTTATTAACTTTATATTAAAAATAATTTGTGTCCCTTTTTGATATTTTTTAACACAAAGACCTATTTTATGTTATGTTTTTAATCACAAAACACAAGAAAGTAGTAAATGAAACAAACAAAAATGAAAACTCTATTATGCAAGTATTTCTGTTTACATACTTTTGCATTGTTATTATCAAGAACTACTTTAATCACAAAACATAAGAAAGAAGTTCTTCTAAATTTTTGAAGATTATTAAAATCAGTTTTATAAGTGCTTTTAATATTTTAAAATGCCCATGCTATTCATGGGCCAAAATACTAGTATTTTAGAAAAATCAAACATATGTTTTTTTTTTTAATGGAAGTGCATTGAATCCATTAGCTATGTAGTTAAATTTCAAAATCATGAAACAAATAAGTTATTGATGGAAGATGACAAACTTTTTTTTTTAAACGACAAACTTTGTGAGCATACTACATAATGATTAATATAAAAAGTTATCTATATATATGTTAATTACTTTCATCAGTTAAAGTAGGAGAAGATTTCGAAAAAAGGATACCTTTGAGATCATGGAGGAAGTAGTAGTTGCTAAAAAACTGGTAATATTATTTATTTTTTTTGTCAAATTTTTTTCCAAGAATAGTAGAATTGGATTACGTGAAAGTGAAAGAGCAAAATTTGAGAGTTTTGCCACATGTCAAAAGGAGAGTGTTGCAGTTTTTATTAAAGTGACTGTTGATTTAGTATAAATAGATTGCCATTTGAATCTAAATTTAATACTAATTTTATGTGTGAATTGTAGACGAAAAACATTTAGCTTTTATTGGTTATCTTAAGCAAAGTCGTCTTCGCTCGGAGTGGTTAAGAGCATGAGACAAGCAACTATGAACACCGTGCGTACATTAAAATAGTAATTTCTAATTAGTTTTTAATACACTAAAAATTGAGATTATTAGATCTCATGCTTCACTATTCAAAAACTTACACATTGTGCCACATTGCGGAAAGTCTTTTAAACTGTGCCATAGCGTCGACGTAAAATGTCCCTTTTGCCCTCATTCCTTGTTCCAACGCACACTGTTGAAATAGTCAGCGGAATAGACATAAAGTTTATGCTGCATTAATTCTTTATTTCCCGTCTGTAATTCTTTATTTCAGGTCTACGGCTTGGTCCAACCTGTCATTCCACTGATAGACATTAACATGTCCACGCAATCCATCAGATGCTTCAATGTCCTCGCATTGTGATCATATAATAGACAACCGTCTTCATAATAAATTGTCTACCCAAACTTATCTACCCAAACTTGTCTACGGTGTTGCCCAACTTGTCATTCCATTGATAGACATTAACATCTCCACGCAATCCATCTGATGCTTAAATGTTCTTGCAGTGTGATCATATGATAGACAACCTTATTCATAATAACTTGTCTACAGAAACTTATCTACCAAATCTTGTCTACGGTGTGGCCCAACTTGTCCACGCAATCCATCTGATGCTTCAATGTCCTCGCAGTGTGATCATATGATATACTACCTTATTCATAATAATTGTCTATGGAAACTTGTCTACGGCTTGGTCCAACCTGTCCTTTTATTGATAGACATTAACATGTCCACGTATGCTTCAATGTCGTCGCTTTGTGATCATATGATATACACCATTATTCATAATAACTTGTCTACTGAAACTTGTCTACGTTTTTCACCAACTAGTCCTTACAATCTATAGACATTAAATGTCACTGTCGTCGCATTGTGATCATAAAATAGACAACATTATTCTTAATAACTTTCTATCAATGATGTTATTGTCTACGCTTTTAGCATTCTTCTATAGGAATACATATCTTGTCTACAAATTATTGTTTTTCTTTTTGGTTCACCATCCATGTATTCTGGTTCTGTAAATAAATAGATAACATTTCCATCATACGTGTCCTCAACAACATCTTGTCTACAAAAAACTTTCATTTTTTACCTCTTTCTTTTTTCATTATCTCTGCAGATTAACTTTATTTCAAACAAAGTTTTACTACCTACTTAATTTTTTACGTTTTGTCTATAACAACCTAGTTTGTCCTCTCTGTGACATGGCTTCATTAAATACCTCTCCAATCAAAATTCTGACACGTCCAATCCCACCAGCCAATTTTACACTTCCGCGGGAAATAACACCAAGAGTATTTTTGTCTTTCCATTGCTGCCATACACCCTAAATGTGGCACGTTTTGAAATACAAACGCGAAAGTGGCGTGGCCCCAAATAATTTTATGAAATGTGGCACATTGAACAAAATTCTCCTAAAAATTGGATAGTGATATTTATATTATATAATTATATTTGCCGAATGTTTCTGCGACAAGCTTAAGTGACCCTTTGGACATTTAAGATATGGTATCTTTTCCTTTTCATTGCGCTTTAAAGTTTAAACCCCATCACACTTTTTAAATGTTGAGTGGAAAATAAAAGGGTGCCAAAAATTGTTATTTACATAGTTGAAGTATCTATTGAAATGTTAGGTAACTAATACTCGTGCATAAAAAAGAAAAGAAAAAAAAAAAAAAAGTAATCGTGCTCACACGTGACATGCCTTTCTTAGCTTAACTTAGTGTTTTCACCTTTTCTCATGAAAGTTTGGTAGTTCGCAATGTGAATCAATTGCTCAAGAGAAAATTATATATAACTTACATACGTTGTGTGCTTTTTTATACTATAAATTCTTTCACAAACATCAAATAAAAACTCGTCGTTAACGTTCTTAAAGTAAAAGAGTGGGGATTTCATTTCAAAATTTATAATTTGAACCATATATGTATAATGTGTTGGAACTTGCAGTCCTAGCTAAAATATATACATGATCTTATATATTTGATTATATTTCAGTTTTTATGTGATATTCTCTAAGATGATATATATATATATATATATATATATATATATATATATCTCCCTTGTAAAAATTGTAAAAACCATTTATCACCTTTTGCTGTGGTTGGTGAATTCTGTTTGTGATTAGTTTGTTACCTCAAAGTTGGCTCTATCCAAATATGCAGTTGATGAAGTTACAAATCTAATTATTAAACTCATTTGATTTGGTGCATAGTTTTTTAGTAACATGTAAACGACTCTCTAAGAAATAATTCATTTTACAAAACTTAAGTGATTTCTCGTCGGTGAATGGGAAATGACTCAAATAGTAGTTATTATTACTTATCACTTTCCTAACAAAAAGAAAAAGCGAGTCCTCTTTTGTCTTTTAATTTAATTTATAAATCTCGATCTTACTTTTAATTCATCTTTTGTTTAGTTGCTTTGTTTTGCCTATGATGAATATCCACCTAAAGGACTTTCACACACTGTGTCCCCATGAAATGGTGATTTCATCTTATTCGAGAAGTAGCTTCATTTCAATCTTCCATCATCAGTGACAATAATGAGAAACTCTTTATCAAAAAAAAAAAAAAGAGATACAAATTTATACACAACAAATGAAAAAAAACGAACACTCGAAAATTACTAGGTTTTAGAAGTTTTTGCTAAAAAAATAGTAGAATATTAAAAATTGTGGTTTTATAAGAGATTTCTAATAGCAATACTACAATCTTTGACTAGTAATCTGGATATATTTTCTACAAGTTTTAACGTGATTTTCTCATACATAAATAAGTAGATATACACATTTTTTTTAAACGCGAGTCTCGTAATCATCTCTTAGTACAATTTACTCATTTTATATTCTATATTGTTATATGTCAACTATAAATATATTGAGGAATAATTAATCTTGTTCCCAAATTTAAAATTTTACCGGGAAATTTGGCTAAAGTCTATTCAAATAAGACGGACCGAAATCGAATATTTGATTTAAAAAACAATGGCCAACTACTAGACATTACCAGTTTTCGTAGAGAAAAAATTAAAGCCTCAATGTATTTATGATACGCCGTACTGTATAATTATAGTCACCTCCTCCATTACTAGTAAGTAGTACTAATCAACAATAAATATTTCACGTAATGTGGTTAGATACAGTAGACTTTTATATCCAAATTAATACTACTAGCTACTACATTACACTTAACATTACAAAAAAATGATCATTATAAGTTTTCTTGGAAACTACAGTCTCTGATCTTGAGCTGCGTCAGTGGACCCAATAATAATCTATGAAATCAATCCCCCACGATCGACCCACCAACAGAGAACTTTATATTAATCCATACACACACAATGACACAACATTAGGGTAAAAGAAAATTGACCACACGATTGCATTTATATTTGGTGCAGCTCGTAGTGATATATCTAGAACCAGAGAATATACTCTACATTGTTTATAATCTTGAATATTTTATATATGGGAACTATTTTTCTATAGCTAGTAGTCAAGTATAAGCTAATTAAGAATTAGATTATAACGTAAAGCCCGTAAAACATGTGATATTTATTTCTTTGACGTTAATCATTAATATTGTGTTGACATTAGACGACTGTATCTATTTGCTAAAAGTCATCCAAAAATATATAAATGTATATATAGATGGTGAAATCTTAAGCTAATAAGCACACGTAAACATGTGCATATACACATGTGGGGACCACCCTGACATAAACCATTCCCGCGCCTTCCTCGATAATCTCAACCGCATGATTTACACTTTCCCTTCATTCTCCACCGTCCGATCATCTTCTCTCCCAGTCACAATCTCTCTCTCTCTAGCTTTTATGTGAATCGATCACTTCTCTGTTTTTTTTTGGATCTTCACTTTGCTGATTCACTCTTCTACTTGATTCTTGAATCTCTCTCTCTCTATCTCTCTGTGTGTCTTCGTCTTCTTCATCGCCGAGTGGTTGTGTCGGTTCTGCATTTTCTCTTCGCTGTTTGAGGTAATTTTCTCATTTTTTCCCAGGAATTCTCTCGGGAAAGTTTC